AAAAGAGAGATAGAGAATGAGAGAGAGAGAGAGAGAGAGAGAGAGAGAGAGAGAGAGAGAGAGAGAGAGAGAGAGAGAAATCAGGAGGAACAGATACATTCTTACATTCCTAAAGACAAAAGCAGAAAAGTATTTAGAAAAAGACATAATGTTGATTCAGGGTCAGTCTTTTTATCCAACTTTATTCCTAAAGAATTGAATCCCATATCATACCAAATTTGTAATAGGACAAATGCCCTTCAGTGGGAAAAATCATTCTGTATCATAGCTCACATGAGAAGCAACACAGGCACTAAAACAATGAAGACACTGGGGCTGGAGAAATGGCTTAGCAGTTAAGAGTACACACTGCTCTTGTAGAGGACCTGCGTTCACTCCCTAGCATCTATCATAGGTGGCTCACAACTGCCTGCAACTCCAGCTCCAGGGGGATCTAATGCTACTGGCCTCAGCAGGCACCTGCACTCACGTGCACATATCCTTCCCCCATGCAGATAATGGACAATAAAATGAATCTTAAAAAATATTGAATGCACGTATATACAGGGTGTGAAGCACTATGGTTTAGATGATCCTGCTTAAGCGGTTCCTAGGGTAGGCTTTGCCTAGTCCCCCCATCTGAATCCCTTCCTTGGGGGATTTTTCTGGTCCTCTCTGATGGTGTCTTGGTCTCCTTTCAGCCTTGAGAGCCTCTTCACCATCAACTACAGACACTTTGGATTTGGAGCTCTTAACCTCTTGTCAGTTAATTGAATGATGTTATTTCTATGTGGTTTGTATGTATGTGTGTACATTCATGAAATTCTAATGACACAGTTCCTGTCTTCAAGAAATTGACAACTACATTTAGTAATTATTTTAATCATAAAAGCTACAGAGCAAGATTAAGAAGACCAAAGCAAACAGGCAGGGTGTGGTGAGATTCCAGGGGAGTGGAGGATGTGAAATGCTTTATCAGCTGGAAAGTGACATGGCCATATTGGTTGTGCCTATGTTGTTTTCATTGCTATGGTTCCAGTGAGAAGTTCTAGGAGCAGTGCACAAACTTCTTTTCTAATTTCCCAGTTTTGCTTCGTTTGCCACGTTTTAGTTTCTTCACTTGACCTTCACACAAGCTGTTCTGTGTTGCAATTGGCACATGTAGCAGGGAGAGGCACTCAAAAAGGGAAAGGTGAGAAGGAGCGAACAGGAATCCAAATAAGACGTTGGGTCGAAAGGACTTACTAAGTGATGCCATGTGTAAAATTGTCTTGTTGAAAGTTTCGGCTACTAAAATGTTTGTATCCATAAAAATGAGACAAAAGGAGTCTGCTTTTAGTGTTGTTCGTATGTTAGAACCAATGTTAGAGTAGTCCAGACTGGACAACTTTTGAATGTGTTCTGAAAGGGACACTGAGTGTTTGTCTTTTGGACCTAATTCATAGGCATATTGATTGCAGATATTTGGCTAATTTCACTTCAACAGCATTTACTTTGGGTAAATCAGATACAAGCATTATTCATTTTGAACACAGAGATGGGGCAAGAGTCCAGTGAGTGGACCTATGCTCAACATTGCGTTGGCATCACGGCAAGAATCTCTATCATTTTATGGAGCTGCTTTCGCAGTTTTCTCAAAGTGTCCCCTTTCAACTCATCCTAGGGGCAACTCTACCTTATTCAACAGCTTGTTGATATCTGAGAGTCTTAGAAAAAGTCAAGTATATTTCTAACAAACTTGAGCATTAAAGTAAGCAAATGAACCACATATTATAGCTTCTTATGTGCCATTATTTAATACACATTAGTGATAAATAAAAGGAAACCATTTTAGGCATAGCATCTTAAGGAAGGAATGTCACAAACTATAGCCAAACAACTACAAAATCTTGTTTCTATTGTTTTTCTTCAGCATAGGAACATATGGCCATTCGTTCTTTGTACTGAATCGGCACAGAAATTCCTCACACAATGGAAAATGTATGTTGATTACATTGATTTAAACATTTCTTCTGTGAAGTTCTACAAACACCATTCCTTATAGTACATATGATTGGGCTGACAAGATATTTGTAAATATAAAACATGAAAATTTAAGAGTTGCCTCACTTTTCTATGTGTTTCAGATAATCATTATAATGATGACCTGTTAAGTCCTTAAATTCACCAGAATATCCTCTTCCGTTCTTGAACACTAATCATTAGGCAACAGGGATGGACCAAGGCTTACAGCATTTAGAATCCATTCACGGAACCTAAAAGAAAAAGTCAAAAAAAGATTAAGGTTTAAAAACAGAAAAAAAAAAAACCCACTTAAAACTAGTCATATGGCTAATTGGTGGCAAAATAGTTTCTTTTTCCAAAAGACATTTATTCAAAAACATTATTTGCTTAATTTTTATAAGCTTATGTTTTTTTTCCAACCAGGAATTCAGTAATTTTGGCTAAATAAAAAAATCTAATTCTTTGACATAATAAAACAGAGATGACAACACACACACACACACACACACACACTCTCTCACACACAGATACACACACACACCCACACACACCCACACCCCCACACATACACCCACCCACACAGACACACACACAGACACACACACACACACACACACACTACTTATTCAGCTGAAAAGAAACTGAAGAGGTGTGGGTTATTTTTAATACTACAGCAAACATAGGGAATCAACATATTTAAATAATGGAAAATACATTTGAAAATGTTTCTGTATGTTCAATCTACTGAGTCTTTTGACATTATTAATATTTTCTAGATAAACTGTAACTGGCTCAGAACCTAAAATTCTTGAAGTGGGAAGTAAGTTTTCACCAAAATTGAAACAGAAAAGCAATAGAGAACAGGGTCAGAGTGAGCCACAGTCATAGGCTTCTGTACTGTGATTGCTTGAGAAACATGTAAAACCCGTTTAAAAGTGGGATTTACCCTTTAAAGAAGATCTCCATTTCATTTTAAAAGATGCTGTTTCCTACATTTTTTTTTTTTGTCTTTTTGAGACAGGGTCTCCTTGTAGCCCCAGCTGTCCTGGAACTCACTATGTAGACCAGGCTGTCCTCAAACTCACAAAGATCTGCCTGCCTCTCTCCCAAGTGCTGGGATTAAAGGCATGTGCCACCACACCCGGCTGTTTCCTACATTTTTAATGTTACCAACACTTAGATGTTTGTACATGTGTCTTTAATCTCTATGTATCTGATTATTACCAGTCACATTTGGTTACACTCGGATCCTTGGCACTTGAGTATGGATAAAAAGTCATCAGATAGATTTCAATGGTAATGTTCATCACCTGTACTAATTAACATGAAGTAAAATTTTATGCTTCCTCCTCAAATATAAGTCTTTTCTTTTTAATTTGTTGATTTTTTTTGTTTTATGTCTTACAGGGTTTAAACTGACTTCAGTATTGTATAACTGAATTAATTCAGCTGTGAACCTAAAAATTTACAGCCACTTTTGAAAGAGATGTATCCTGGCTCTGGAAATTGTTACTGAATATGTTAAAGCTGTAATGAAATGCTTCTTCTAATCATATGGTTATTAAATTTTAAAAAAGTGGCATTTAAAAGGAAGGCCTCACTCATAAAACCCAGTCATTTTTTCCCAGATGATTTTTGGAACATTTAAAACTGGGCTTCTTGTTTTGGCGGCTTTTTGCTCAAGCCTTTGCCACCATCACAGTAGCTTTCCAACTGCCCTCTCTCAAGCTAAGTCATGTTATAACATCTATTGGATGACTCTTCCCAGTTACATCATTCCTATGATCCATTACCTTCAAAGGTTTTCCTGCTGTGCAGGATAAAATGCATTTACATTTACATTGGTGACTGATCTAGCTCTGGTTAGTGTTCCAGTTTACTCTCTAGATTTTCTTCTGCACAGTCTGTCCTCCAGGCAACCCAGATTATCTGTGTTTTAAGACATACCTGATGCTTTTCTGCCCCCGATTCTTCTTTGCCTTAAATTTCTCTCCACCTGGAATTCCTTTTGCTCTCATCCATTAACTGAATGCTCTCTTCTTGACACCTTCCCTAGGACTTCACTTACACTTGTTTGGTCTGGTATTTTCTATTGGTATCACTTTAATTTTCAGATTCTTTATCATTAAGCTATAAGTTCCATGAAGTGGAGCCCTTATTCTACTTACTTTTGTAAGTGTCTGACCAAAGTTTTTTAAGCGTTCCATAAAAAAAAATTGTTGAATAAATATGTGACTGTGCATCTCACTGTGCTCAGCTTTCTTTTGTTTTGACTTTTGGGGAGGAATGACTCTAACAGTTTAAACACATACACACACAGACAAAAGCGTGGACACACATATGCATACACATATCCCATAATAAACTACGATTGCCTTAGTATACCCTTAGTATAGTCTGTGCTAAAATGTCTTCCACATGCATTTTGAATGCTTTATTATTTAATCAAATGAAGTTTGTACAGGCCTGATAGTTTAGGGAAGTTTCAGCTGATACTGTACTGGGATAATGTGTCCATGTTTATAGCACCCTTGCCAAACCTAGACACCTGTCCTTGTGTGTTACTGTGACTCAGTCAAGACTCTTCTTTGATCAGTTCTCCATTATGGTGTTGAGTTTAAGGAAAGAACAAAACAAAACAAAACAAACTCCAAAAAACAAGCAAAAAGACAACCGTAAGACTGGAAGTCTGAGCCCTAATGGGCACAATAAGAAATTGTTCATATAACAGTCTTTACAAGCATTTGTTCAGCTGATAATCTGTGCAACTAGAATGCTAATCCCATTTAGACTCAAGTTCATTTCATATACATTTGGTCACAGGTAAGACTTTTCTCTATTTTGAAGATATAGTGTGTGGCTGAGCTAGGATTTGAACCAGTCACCTGATTTCAAAGCTGGTGCACCATTCCAATCTTTTCCAGTTTGTCAGCATTTTATAAACTTCAATAATGGAAGAAAGAAAAATAGAACATGTCATTTGCTCCAGAGAAGCCTGTGATCCAGTTGGGAAGAAAGGACTAGAAAATACTGTGGATGAGTAGACAGTTCACAGTTTCTCACACCACCTCAGTGAGCAGCATTGGAAGATTTGTACAGTCATACCCCCATTCCGTGTGTCTGCCTCACGCTAGACTTCAGACTTTTTGGGAGTATGAACGTGCATTATTTACTGTGATTCTCCCTCAGCCCGTCTTTTTTTTTTTTTTTTGAGGTAAGTTTCACTGTTTACTGCTGGTTCTGGTTGGCCTGGAACTCGCTTTATAGACCAGGCTGACCTTGAACTCACAGAGAGGCCGGCCGCTGCCTCTTGAGTGTGGGGATTAAAGGTATGCACCAGGCCTGGCCATCAGCCCATCTTAATGCCTTGCTGCATATAGTGGAGTATATAGAATATACCTGTTGAGCTGAGCCAAACAGGTAAATAGGGGTAGGGAGTTGTCCAGGAGACAAATGAAATGATAGCAAGGCAGACAGACTGTGGCCTGGTCCACTGGGCTGGGGTCACGGGGAGGGTTCAGGGAGGAAGGATACTTGAAGGATGAAAGCAGTTTAAGAAATTGCCTCTCCTTTCCCATTTTCTTTCTTGGCATGTACTTGGAATTCTGGACCTTATAAAAGTTTCTTTTTTAAGCAATTAAAAGTTTGAGCTCTTTCACTTAATAGGACACCTATATCAAACTTCTGTCCCCCAAGGCTCAGAGATCATTGAAGAAGAGGGAGGCAGGAAGATTGTAAGAGCCAGAGGAGGTGGATGACCACAAGGAAACAGTTTTCCCACAGCTGGTCAGTTACTCATATGAACTCACAGTAACGGTGACAGCATGCACAAGTCCCATGCAAACTCAAGCCAGAAAAAATCCAAGCATAGATATCAGGAAGTGAGTAAGAAGCTTCAACCCCACCTAAGGAAAATGTGGCAACCATCGGTTGGATGGCTACTGGGAGGGGCAGAGACAGTCTCCTTCAAGCATGGGACTCTTGGTAGTTTAACCAGGCTCCAGTGGATGGACCCACACTTAAGGACATTTGGAGACACAAATTAGACTCTATAGGCCTTATTGGATATATAATAGAGTACATTAAATTGGGGGGGGGCAATAAGGGGAGGTGCGGGTAGGGGAAGGGATCGAAATACCATCGAACTACATTGTGTGAAAACGATAAAAATTCAATAAAAAAAGAAAAAAAAGCTTGAGCTCCTGCCTTGGCTCGTTCCAGCCTCCAAATCACTCCACCTGCCAACGTCTCTAAGTCTTGTCTTTTTTGCTCAAGCCTGGGTGCAAAAGGGGCTGTGCACAGCAGCAGCCTCAGTCCCCATAGAAAGGTGATTCAAGCCATGGGTGGGAGCCACACGTGTTCTTACAATTTCTAGAAGCCATGTTAAAAAAATAAATCTGTTGTATGATTTGCATGTGGTCTGTTTCCCAAAGTTTCATGCATTGGAAGGTTGGTCCCCAGTGTTGGGGTGGAAACTGGAGTAGAATTTTTACATGTGTGTGGAGGCTTAATTGGAAAACCTTAGGTCACTGGAGGATACATATACAAAGTTAATTTTAATCACAGTTGACTTCAACCCAACATACCAAAATATTATCATTTTATCATCTTATTAATGTAAAATTATTTTTCCTATTTTAATGTAAAATTACTAACAAAGCATTTTACATTATTTTTTTCAGCAACCAGTCTTTAAAATGCAGTGTATATTCAGCACTTAAGAGTGCATCTCACTGTGGATAGGCTTGTTTCCGGGCTCAGTGACCACATGTGGCTCATGGCTACAGTACCGTGCCGTACTTAGGAAGTGATGTTGTGCAGTCCCTCTCCTGCGTCTGAGTGGAAGACGAGGAGGACTGAGGCTGAAGGTGCTGTGTCTACTGCAGCCCTTTCAGGACCCAGATGGGAAAGACCATTTCTTAGCCCTTGAAAACCCACATTCCCTTTGATAAATAAAAAAATCCCTTAGCTTCCTATTTGAAAATTTACAATTTTACTTCTGTTTTTCACATGAAGGCTTATGGGGTTGTGACTTTACTCTTGAGCTGACACGTGTCCTCTGTCCCTTCAAGCACTGAGAATCATGGAGGGGTTGCAGATATTCACAGACAAGATGGAGGAGTCTCATACCTGGTCTGTAAACTGGTCCACACGGGACATACGAATCAGCTCCGGTGTGGCAGGGCTGTTCATCACCCAAACTGGGGGCAAGCCCCTCTCCTTGCGAGCTGCATCCACAGCATCAGCAATGGCAAAGAACACAGAAGACCCCAGAAACATTCCAGCCTCACCAAGGCCCTGGGGGTAGAGGAGACAAAATGAGATTTAGCCTAGGACAGCCAGCCCATGGGGGAAGAGGGGAGTTAACCTGAGCTGAAGTAGAAGCACATCCGAAGGGGTCACTTCCCTTCCATCCCTGCAGCAATCCTTCTTGTAGGCCCTCTGACTGGCTCTGGGCAGTTTTCTTTGCCTTGTCCAGTGCCTGACCCATACATGGGTACAAAGAATGGTTAATCTATGAATCCAACAAGGATTCAGCAAATGTTGATGTTCTGGTTGTTTCTTGCCTCTTTCAAACCATTGCCTCCCTGGGATCATACTTTTCTCAGGACCATGGCCTTTCTAACATTCTCAAGACCAATTCCAGAACAACCTGACCCTCATCTACAAAGCCAGTTTCTATTTGTTTAGGGAACTGGTTGGGCTTCAAAAGAGCTTCACTCTGGTGAAAGATAGGCCCAAGTGGTAATCCCGAAGCTGGCTGCATTTGCCAATGGTGAGAGCCTAACTAAAGCCTGGCATGCTCATGCCCAAGGGAACAGTGTGGTTGCAGCTGAGGCTACCCACAGTGCCAGCTGGGCTTCTAAAGGATGATGAGGATATAGGAATGTCTTATTAATCGCTGATACTCTTAGTAGGGTTTGTGCCAAGGATTTACCTTTCTTAGTATGAATTAAGTCATTAACACGGTTTAAATGCTTTCCCAAGCTATGAAGAATACTATAATGAGTCAAAGCTTTTTCAAGGCACACATAACCCTCCAGTAGACTTTGATGTGTCCCCTTGGTGACTGACACCTGCCATTGAAGGTCTTTGAATTAGAGGTCCCCTGGGGTAAAGCCCAAGCATCCTTGACCACTGTATTGAGGAGACACATATTCTATCCTTCATAGAAGGCATTGTCTCACATGCTGTTGGGCACTCTTCTGTCTGCCTATACAGGATGATTTCTGCACAGGGCTGTCAAGTCAGGGGGTGATCTCCAGCCCACAGCCCACTTATCAGGCTCTAATCTGGGAGGGGTGTAGGCAACCTTTCTCTGATGTGTCTGATGTGTTCTATGAGCTATAGAGCAGCTCTGCTGTGGGGACCAGAACCTGTGTGGCCCTGCTCTGAATGAGCATATGTACAAGTAGGAGCAGGGTGCATGAGAAAATGAGTGGACACAAGGAAAAATAAAAAGCGCTATGAGACAAGACAGTCGTAGGCACCTACATGGACTGAGAAAGCAAAGCTAGCTTTTCTTGAAGAAGTGACTTCACACTGATGTATGAGGCAAGAAGGTGCTTGTCAGGTGAAGGAGGCAGGATAAGTCCCAGGAAGAAGGACAGTGTGATAGTTAAGTTTGTGCATCAACTTGATGAGGCTTGGGTACACTGGTTAACCACCAGTGTAGACATTGCTGAGAGAGTACGTTGTGGATGTGATTAACATTACCTTTATTTACTTATTTATTTATTTATTTATTTATTTATTTATTTATTTAATTATTTGGTCTTTTTGAGATAGATAGGTTCTCTCTGTAGCCCCAGCTGGCCTGGAACTCATTATGTAGACCAGGCTGGCCTTGAACTCACAGAGATCAGCTTGGCTCTGCCTCCCAAGTGCTGGGATTAAAGGTGTGCATTGCCGTGCCCAGCTAACATTGACTTTAAGAAACTACTAGCTTTGATAATATAAGTGAAGTCCTTAAGAAGAGAAACATGTTTTCCCCATGAAGAAGGAATTATTCTGCCTTAAGGCATCAGCATAGAACCATGCCTGGCTTTCTCATCTGTCACCTTACTGCCCTAGAGATTTTGAACTTGTCAGTCCTACAACTGGGTGAACCAATTCCTCAAAATAAATTTCTCTATAGGCACACAGATGCATATATACACACATATTAACACATATAATATGTATACATATGTACAACATATGCATATGTGTATACCTACATATACCTGGATAGAGCCCATTGGTTCTGCTTGTTTGGAGAACTCTGACTAATGCAGGTGACATTGCAAAGGTGTCAGGAAGAGAAAAGCTGGCTCCATCCAAGGGACTGAAGAAAGCTATGTAGCTGGAGCACAAAAAGGATGGCACAGGAAGGCTTGGGAATGGTTGGTAAGGTGGAATATGTAGGGATTTGGGAGTCATGTTAGAGCTGTCTTATTATTGGCTCAAGGGAAGCCATGAAAGGGATTTTACTGTGAATTACATCACTTTCTTCCTAGTCTTATATTTGGTAGTTACTCTGTTGCCTTAATAGTTCAAGCATGCCTTAACTCATGTAATATGCCTATGAGTCAAGTCTCTAGTAAAGCTGAAAATAAGTAGGTAGCTGGTGGAGGTATTTTGGTCCAGGGAGACTTCAAGGCCTCTGAGTGCCAGTATCAGGTGGTTCACCATTCCACCTATACTGGTCCAGTCACGTCTTACAGCCCTGCCCTCATCAGTACTTGAGTGTCCTTGGCAGTAGAGGCCCACAGGTTCTCACGCTGTGACCTCTTGCCCTTGGTAGGCCAGGATGCTTAGAAGTAGGCAGAAGGGATCCTGTGGCCATGGCTCTCTATATAGTCATATGCCACTTAACAATGGCAATATGTTATGAGAAATGTGTTATTGAGCAATTTCCTCATTCTGTAGCTATACAAAGAAGACCGAGGGACCACTATTGTGTAGGCGGTCCATCACTGAGCAGATGTCATCATGTAGCATGTGATTATACTAGTGCTATACATGATACTAGTGCTATACGTTAGACTATTGACTCCTGCCAACAACCTGGGGGAGTGTGTGCTCTGCATTCTGAGTGTCCTGTACAGGGTGAGACGGCTAGATGTGGCAGAAGTGGGTCAGGTGGAGGTCTTTAGGTTTAGACAACAGGGCTCTGACCCCCATGCCTCAGTTGTCTGCTCCTAAGAAAGCAGAATGTCCACGCCTGGGAGGCTTGACAAATGGAAGACTGACATAACTCAGAGTATACGTCTTAATCTTCCAGAAATCTAAATGTACCAGGGATCTGGAGTTAATTGGGTCCTAGGAAACCACTCAAACTTGCAAAGACTAGTGTGTAAACTAGACCCATTTCCTTAATTTTTAAAAAAATTAAAAAAAATTTTATGTGTATGGGTGTATTGCCTGCATGTAGGTAAGTGCACCCATGTCATGAAATGCCCGTGGAGGTCAGAAGAGGCTGTTGGATCCCCTGGAACTGGAGCCACAGGCAGTTGTTAGCTGCCATGTAGATGCCGGGATTCAAACCCAGGTCTTTGGCAAGAACAACCAGTGTTCTTAACCGCTGAGCCATCTCTCCAGCCCCCACATTTCCTTAATTTATGAGGTGAAACTAGACTTTACACACAGTGCTGGGCTGGTGCCTCCTGCAGGCTAATCTACAGGAGAAGCAACTGGCTATCACAGGCTCCTCAAGAGGCCTGAATTAGCCAGGAATAGACGAATGATATTCCACTGTAGCCACTCAGAAAGCTTTGAGGAACAATGCCACCACCTTGACCTAATGCAGGTTCACATCTTTCCTGTTTATGACTTAAATGTCATACACAGGTGCTTACAAACCTGATGAATACATGAATGAGTGAACATATGTCTAGGATGACCCATTCATTAGTTATAGCAATGACATAGTGTGATTACCTAATATTCATTGGGTTTAGAATCACCTAGGAAATTGGGGAGGCGTATCCCTGGGTACGGTTGTGAGTACTTTTCTAGACAGGATTAACTCAGGGGTTGGGGTTGGAAAGACCTGCTCTGAGTGTGGGCTGTACCATCCCATGGGCTGGAGGCCCAGACAGTATAAAAGGGGGACAAAGGAGAAAGCCAGCAGAGAGTCGCATTCCCAGGTCTCTGTTCCTGGCTGTCATGATGGGAGCGGCTGTGCTCCACCACTCTCTCCACCATGATGGAGTGGATCCTCCGGAGACAATATGCCAAAAAAATCTTTAAGTTGTTTCTGACCACTATTGCGGTCACAGTGATGCAAAAGTAACTAATGCATCTAAGTGGTATTTGCAGCCAACGTTATCCTCAGTTGGCTTTGTGCAGGCCACACTCTCAAGCAGTCTATGTAGGCTGTGTTTTTCAACCCTTACAATTCTTACAAAGCCTGCACCACTGCACCACTGTTATTCCATTTTATACAGAGACATCAGGAATGGAGGTAACTGTCCAAATGCTCAGTACTCTTAAGAATGGGCTTAGGATCACACTCCTGAGCCATGCACTGTGCCCTACTGTAGTTTAGCATCAGTTTTCCCTACACACTAGCCACGTCAGCCGGCTGCTATATAGTTTGAATGTGTCTACTTAAGTTTATGTGCTGCCAACTTATTCTTATGTAAGAACATCAAGAGATAGGAGCTTTAAGGGCTCCATCTTCATGAATGAATTGACGCTACTGCAAGAGTGGGTTTGTTATAAAAGCAAACTTGGCCTTCAGCTCTCTCACCACTCTATATCCTCTCCACATTATGGTATAGCAAGAAGGCCCCACCAGATGTGGCTCCTTGATCTTGAACTTGGCCAGCTTTGAGAACCAGGACCCAAACAAATCTGTGTTCATTATAAGTTACCCAGTCTCATTGTGGAAGAGGAGGCAGAAAGACCGTAAGAGCCAAGAGGGGTGGATGACCATAAGGAAACAGTCTTCCAGACAGCTGATCAGTTACTCACATGAACTCACAGCAATGGTGACAGCATGCACAAGTCCTATGCAAGCTCAAGCCAGACAAAAATCTCAGCATAGACATGGCAAAGTAGATATAAAATCCTAACCCAACTTAAAGAACTTTTGGCAATTGATGGCTGCGGGGCCAGGAGAGACAGTGTCTTACAAGGATGGAACTCTTGGAGGGCCCAGTGAATGGATCCACACTGAAGGACATTTGGGGACACAAATCAGACTCTTTAGGCCACATTATCTATCATCTATCTATCTATCTATCTATCTATCTATCTATCTATCTATCTATCTATCATGTATCAATCTATCTATCTATCTATCATCTATCTATATCTCTCTATATATGAGAGTACATTAAATTTGGTGGCATCATAAGGGGAAGGTGTAGCTAGAGGAGGGGATCAAAATACCATCGAGCTATACTGTATAAAAATCAAAAATTTTCAATAAAAATAAAATTATAATCTATATTCTGACAAAATATATTGTGATTTATTTAAATTTTATTTTAATGAAGTCTAAAGAGGAAATTCTTGTGTCATAAGTCCTTTAAAATATTTTTATTAATTCTTTGAGGATTTCATATTTTGATCATATTAACTCTCCCAGATTCACTCCACTTGCATACCCACCCAACTTCATTTCCTAATTTTTTTTTGGTCTTTTTGAGACAGGGTCTCCCTGTAGCCCCAGCTGTCCTGGAACTCACTATGTAGACCAGGCTGGCCTTGAACTCACAGAGATCTGCCTGCTTCTGCCTCTTGGATTAAAGGCGGGCACCACCATGCCTGGCCCATTTCCTAATTCCTAATTTTTGAGCAGCCTAATCTTTTACGAAGCTATTGAAACTAAAAGTTGTTTATTCTGAAACTTACTCCGGAATGGATTTAAACTTGTGATGCTTATTGGGGTTGACTGAGGAGGTTACGCCTTACTCTGTGTTGTTTATGAGACAAACTATATTGAGATTACATTCAATGTTGAAATGGTGTACAGATTCTTCAGAGCAGCATTTCTCCAACTTTCTAAATCATAAACCATGGCAATTTTTGCAGCTCATTATTTTCCCAGCATACTTCATTGTGCAACACACACACACACACACACACACACACACGCACAGCATCTAAGAAATAAATTCCTTTACCTATTATACAAAACATTTTGATATTTCCTTTGATGCTGTATTCTATTAACTTAATATGGTGGTTTGTGACAGTAAATTAATTTTATGATTCTCTATGAGGCTATGATCTGCTAAATTAAAAACTCCATTCAGGAACTTGCCGAGCTGCCAGTGAGGCAGGACGTGGAGCTCAGTGATGGGGGCCGAGGAGGGGTAAGTGCGCTGCTGGCCCATTCACCCGCCTCCCTGAGACTCTCAGAATCTCAGACGAAGCAGGGAGTTTAGTCATGCAGGAACTTGTTTATTGTAAGTGTTACAACGCATATAAAGGCAAAAACCACAATCATTAGCATAGGCGGGAACCTATCCTCCAATCCTGTGGAAGGTCACGTAGAGCACGCAGGCTCCTTTCAATGCACTACTATGGTGATCACAGGTGCTCACGCATTTTCCTCCTGGTTAGTCTCCAATTACCTACACTTTTTCTTATTTTTTGTCCCTGGTCCAATTGCTTAGCTCCTCCCCCAACTGAGGTGGTTGGCGCCATATTGAATGCACCTTCCCTACAGGAACTTACCTGAGAAATTTTACCTAGAGGACCTCAAGACAAAGACAAAGGAAAAAACCTCTGTCCCTCTCTCAAAAGTATGGTGTAGTGAGTGAGTGTGTGTGTGTGTGTGTATGTGTGCATCTGTATGAGTGTGTGTGTGTTGTGTGTGCAAGTGTATGTGTGAATGTGTGTATGTGTGAGTGTGGGTTTGATGTGTGTATTTGTGAGTGTGATTGTGAGTTTGTGTGTGTGTGTGTGTGTGTGTGTGTGTGTGTAAATACAGAGGCTGATGTCATGGGTCTTGAGAAGAATGATTGATGTGATTTGAGTAGATAAGTACAGAAATAAATTCAACCTATGAAATATTTATTAGGTATTTCTCATGTTTAGACAGTGCTTTGGGATTAAAGGTTATAGGGGTAACATAGACCTTGTTCTCAAAATGCTTATAGCTACTTACTAGTGGATAAGATTATTCAGGGAATGTCTATAGAATAATCCAGGATGGAGTCCCAGCATATGGACATTTAAAGTTGAAAGGGGAATCTTCAATAATAAAAAGCAAACAGAGAAGGAGAAGGAAGTGTTGTGGGAATGACGGAGACTGCTTTAAAGAGGGAGTGGTCAGTAGGGACGAATCTGATGAGAGGTCAACAAGGTTAAAGGCTAAAGAGACTTCACTGTGTCCAATAGTGCTGAGGTCACTAAGGACCTTGGGGACCATTGTTTAAATGGCATGGTGAGAGTGGAGGGTAGATTACAGAGTTGCTATTTACAGATTACAGCATTACCATTTAAAGGAGGATGTTAATCCAGTCCGTGTGTGTGTGTGTGTGTGTGTGTGTGTGTGTATGTGTGCATGTGCATGCATGTGTGTGTGCATATGAGTGCAGGTTCCTATGGAGGCCAGCAGAGGAAGCTGGATTCCTAAGAGCTGGAGTTACAGGTGGTTGTGAGCTGCCAGATATAGGTGCTGGGAAGTGACCAAGTCCTCTGGAAAAGCAGTATGCCATCTTAACTCATCCTCAGGCTCTTTCCAGAATTTTTTAAACAGTTTTCTTCGTAACTGTTACAAAGCTGAAACAAGTTCGCTAAGGCATTTTGACTCACACTTAGGCTTCAGGTCCCCACACTTACACTGCAAATTCACACGCAAATGAAACACCTGCGGAAGTCAGGCGAGGGCATCGGATTCCCCTGAACTGGAGTTACAGATGGTTGTTAGCTGGGAATGTGGTGGGAGAGTGTAGGAACTGGATGGAGAATGGATGGAGGATGCTTCAATGAAGACAGATGGTTTCATCTATCAGCATTCATCTACTCACAAGTGAGGATCAGCCACACAAGAGCAGCTTTCATTCTGGACCATACTGTGGAAGGGTTGGACACCTGTAAGTCCCACTGCAGCATAAGGTTTTGACAATGAACTCTTCCAACAACTTTGTTATAAGATAAATTGCTACATACCCTAATGTATGTGTGCATGTGCATGCATGTGTGCGTGCATGCGTGCGTGTGTGTGTGATGTTGGGTACAGAACCCAGGGTCTTATGTGTGACAGGCCAGTACTCTATCACTAAGCTACATCATCACTACTCACACAACTCTCTTTAGCCAACATATTCAGAACATGTACAGATGATAAACTGCATGAAGACCGACCATAGACACTTACCTTAGAAGAGTAGATGGCTTTTGGGTTTTGTGTTGGTGTTAGGAGGGACACATGGAATTCCTCGGGGACATCAGTAATAGAAGGTATTTTGTACTGGTTTGGACCACGAGTATATAGGACTCCTTCAGGAGAATATTTCAGCTCCTCTGGAGTATAGAGTCCAAGACCTTGAACAAATGCCCCTTCAATCTGAGACAGAGAAAGGAATGAGTTCCACTTTTTCTATGATGTTTATGATTTTCCAAGTATCACTAAGGATGCTGTTCTTTTAAGGGGCCAGTTCTTTCTAGAGTCCAGGTCTCTCTAGTTTTCCATATTATACTTGTAGATGTGAGCAATGACTTCTGAAATCCCTGGGCAGATTTCAGGAAAATGACTGGACTTGCTTTTAAAAACAATAATGCTTATTATCAATGGTTGGGTAAGTCATTTTCACAGTAATGATTTTAGAAAAAGATGCCTGATACTCTTGTGGTCCAATGCTGGCATAAATTATCTGTACCCCAAAGTCATTAAATGAGTGTAAAGACAAATAACCCCCCATCTTGTTTTTCAGTTACTAGTGACCATTCTGAGGGTAGCAACAAGGTCTTGGATCTGTTCTCTCTTAGAAGAGAATTTCTCAGCAAATTTTCTTGGCAGTGGGTTTATATCCCACCATCTGTCCCTCTTTCTCTTCATTCCAAAGACTAAATTCTAACATAATCTGATTGTATATTTAGTTCAGTGGCCATTTGGATAAAAATTGGGTCCATAAAAATGAGACTCAAGAAGAATCAATGTTAGGATTGAATGTTCCTGACATTGTTATGCTGAAAGAAACTTAGATATTGTTTATATTTGTGCCTCTGCCTCCCAAGTGCTGGGATTAAATGTGTGTGCCATCACTTCTGGCTATATTTGTAATGTGCTAAATATTTGGATTATATTAGAATGATTATGCATATACTTACATGATTATTCACCGTGGAGTTAAAGCCCCAAATATCATATTGGTATTACCCCATTCTCCTCCCTCCTCCTCTTCCTGTCATGATCCTGATTCTCATGTGATTTCAACTACGACTTCTCCATGGCTCACTCTCAAACACGTTAGCTCAGGCCCTGATGTTTAGACCTGAATACCCAACATTCTTCTTGACAGCTCCACTTGGCTCTCTCACAGGAAACTTGAAGCCAACAAGCCCAAGCTGAACTCATGCTTCTCTCTTTGAAGTGCACACACTTTACTTGTTTCATCCTTTGGACCACATTATTAAGTATAAAAATAACAAAAGAGACAGGAAGCTAATTTTAGCTGATAGACGAACTAGTGATACCCAGATAAATAGAGTTGTGTCTTTCAAACTGTATCCAGAACAAGAAAAATGTGATCAGCATTTGGAACATTCAGAGGCAGTATACTAGTAATAAGGCAGTACATACCTGTCCTGTGTCCACAGCAGGATTTATACTGAAAGAAGCATCCATAACAATATCAGTTCTAATGTTCTATAAAGAATAAAAAACATGGCTACATTTTATACTTCACTTTATAGACAATAAGGATATTTTCCTTGGTTGGGGCTTAAAACATGATTTCAAAATGTCACAACAAAGTCCTGCTCCTGGAAATCAAGCTGGTGCTGACTTCAAAACCATATCTCTACTGGCTAGCTTTCATTGTCCTGGAAGGTGCTATGCATGCTACCAGAAGAACAAAGTAACCAATCTTGCACAGCTGTGAATCTCGAGTTACAACAACCAGCCTGGCAAGAAATGCCCATGGTGCAATAGTGGCATGAATGTTATGAGAGTAACCAACCACTTTCTGGTAGGCTTTAAGGTCCACTTCACAAGATAGAACCCATACCTGACATTGATATCAGGCTTAGGAACCTGTGGTTTGCCATATGACAGGCCATAGGGGGAGAATCTGCTACTAGTATTCTGTTAAACAGACATAGTAGTAAACTAAATCCTAATGACTTATTGCTATACCCATAGGTTAATGCATCTCTCAACTCTCACCAGAGAAGCTTCTTCATGTAGCAGATGATGATTAGCACAGAGACCCACAGCCATTAAACATATAGAGAATAAGAGACTGTAGAGTGCTTAGCCCTGAATAGTACACCTACATAAAACTTCTGCCTCCCAAGGTTCAAGGATCATTGCAAAAGGGTGTGGGGGGGGTGGATTTTAAGAGCCAGAGGTAGTGAATGACCACAAGGAAACAGCATTTTCCAGACAAGCTGGGCAGTTATTTATATGAACTCAAAGCAATGGTGACAACAGGCACAAGACCTATGTAAGCTCAAGCCGGACAAAATCTCTCAGCATATAGGTATGGAAGTGGATAAGAAGCCCCAACCCTAGATGAAAAACTACTGGCAACTGACAACTGCTGGGAGAGGGAGAGTAGAGTCAGTTTTATTTCAGGGTGAGACATTGAATAGATTGACCAGTTTCTAGTGATGAACCCACACCAAAGGGCATTTGGGGACAGAGAGACTGTCTAGTGTAACTGTTCATATATATATATATATGAAATTGGGTGGGGTGTAGTAAGTGGGGGTACAGATAGGGGTGGTGGTCTGAATATGATCAAAATATATCACATGGGGATATGGACTGAAGAGATGGCTCAGCAGTTAAGAACCCTTGCTGCTCTTCCTGAGGACCCAGGTTCAGTTCCCAGCACCCACGTGAGAGCTAACAACTGTCTTTAACTCCAGTTGCAGAGGATCTGACACCCTCTTCTGGCCTCTGCGAGCACTTACATACATGCAGGCAAAACATTTGTACAGATAAAATAAAACTAATGAATAAGATAATAAAAAATAATTTGCAATACACTTATACACATAAAATAATAAATAAAATATAAAAAGAAATACATCTTAATTAGTAGTATTTGGTATTTTTATTATTTTTACCTGGAGAAAATAATGGCTATGCAGAGGAAGTAATAATGTGTAAAATGGGTATGACAGCAGATGAAGTGAAAAAAGTCAGGCTGGAAAATTATATACATAGATGAGAACATGTATATAAAATTACAAAGGAAAAATACTGGAAGTAAATATGCCTAAAATACATAGCATGCTTTTTTTTAAAAAAAAAAAATTATTTTTTTGCCTTTTTGAAGCAGGGTCTCCCTGTAGCCCCAGCTGTCCTGGGACTCACTATGTAGACCAGGCTGGCCTTGAACTCACAGGGATCCGCCTGCCTCTGCCTCCCAAGTGCTGGGACTACAGGCATGTGCCACCATGCCCAGCCAGAGCATTCTTTTTTAAAGTAATAGCATTGTAGAAGAGTTTACAGAATATGATTTTTATATTGAAAACATGTGGCAGGTATTGTCTTTAGGATTAATAAATAGGCCCACTTATTATTTGCTTTGTTTTGGGGGGGTCACTGTCTTGCTACGTGGCCCAGGCTGGTCTGAAGCTCTCTGTGTAGCACAGGTTGGCATCAAACCCACAATCCTCTTGCTTCTGCCACCAAAGTGCTGGAACTGAAGGTGTGCAGTTGCGTGCTGAGTTGCTTTGTACTATCTTTGATGAGACCTGTTGGTTTATGTTATGTATAGTATCTCACTAAATTCACTCAAATGTCCACATAGAATATATTTTAATACATATTTTTCTTTCAAAACTTTGTTCTTATAGCTCATTTTTTCCTTCTGGTTTCTTTCCATGAAGATTGGTAATTGAGAAACCTTGAAGTTTTTTCCAGAAAAGGCTTCTAACGCTGGTATCTTGCCCTTGCTGTATATTAGTGTAATGCAGATGAACTGAACAATGACTTGCTGTTTGGGGAGGGTTGATTTTTATTTCATGTGCTTAGCCCTGACACTACTGTGATAAGTTGAAAAGAGTGAAGAATGCAGGGCTAGAATTTCTGATTTTGAGCCTTTGCTACGTTTATCAACAGTAACTTGGATCTGTTCAGTTCATCTCTTAAAGCGTCTCCTCATTTGTAAAATACCTAGTTTGTGGAGTTTTATGGAGCTTGTTGAGGTAATTCACTGGAAAGATCATTAATTTCAAAGAGGTGTACAAACACTACTGGTATACAAAAGCAAACTTCTCTTATATAATTATTATAATATTGACATACTGTAACTAAAGTCAAGAATTCACTAACTCAGAGACCACATACTAAGCACCTGTTGTGTGTCAGACACTGGGCCAGGCTCTAGAAAAGGGAAACTGAATGAGATACAGGTCCAAACAGTGAGGCATGGATGATCCCTGTCCTTTCTGTCTCACTTCCTCACCATATCACTGTACTTCACTTCCACTGGAAGTACGTCTTGCATCTGTTCCCCCCCACCCATTAATTCTCCTGTCGTTCAGGTGCTATTCTCTCTTGCTTGGAGTAATGTTCGGGAGCCTCCTAAGGATTTTCCTGCCTTCCGGTTCTATGTTGCCTCTGACCTTCCCTCAAATTCATCCTCTACCCAGCTACCAGATTGACCTAAGTTATAGGTTCAACTGGGGCTTTCTTGTGCTGAAAACCCTTCTCTGCTCCTTACTCCTAAAAGATAAATACCAACTATGCCAGTGGGTTGGCACAGGGCCATGGTGTTTTACTAACTCCCAGCATTCCTTGCTTTGCCCTGTTTGAGTGGCACTATCTGTGTTCCCCACAACAGCATGCTGGTGCTGCTACTTTTTGTATAAAGTCCCTATCTCCACCTCATCTGTGAGGACTCATCTCCTTTCCCTGATCACCTGTCTTCCTCTTTTCACTTCAGGTTGTGTTAGAAAAATGTCTAGTAAGAGGTATTACTGACTTGAATTGTATTCACAACATGAAGACATTAGATGTATCATTTCAAGAAAAGTTGAACTATTAGAATAAATCAGGACCAAGACTGGATGAGAGAACTCACTTTTCCATACACTTGCTAGCACCAAAATTATTATTTATTAAACATTTGCCATGTGCTAGGCAAAGGAAGGGAGGCCACAGTACTCTCATTAGAAATTTACTCTACCAGTGATATGGTGTTTGCTACTTACCTTGTGAGCGCCTGTCAGACAGTCAATTTCAACCTCAGAACAGGCAGCTCCAAAAACAAAATAAGGAAAAGTGTTGCCTTCTCCCTTCTCCCAGTCCATGTCAGCCTTGTAGCCCCTGTAGTCTATGGTCAGGACATGGAGTTGCTAATGAGGCTTTGTCTAAGAATCTGGGAATGAGAGCAATCAAATTGGCTTAGCGGTAGAACTAGACTACACAGACTGCTGAGCTTCTCAGATTGACCAAGTATTTATGAGTGGAGGAGAAAGGGCATTGCCCATCACGAGGAGTGCAATTCACTTCACATGAGGGTTTTTAATAAAAAAGGCTGTACTCTTAAGGTTAAGCAAGGGTAAAACTAAGAGTTTACACATGCTGAGCATTGGTGGCACACACCTTTAATTTCAGCACAGGGTGGGGGGCAGAGGCAGGAGATCTTTGTGAAATAGGGGGCAGCCTGGTCTACACAGTGATTTCCAGGCCAGCTGGTACTACGGTAGATAGTGTCTCAAAAAAAGGGAAGAGTCTACACATGACATATCTGCATTTGCCAGTATCATTTTAAATGATTGCAATTGGGAAAAGAAAGAAAATTTTACATACTTTTATTTTTAAAAAAATTATTTTGTTGGTTGCGGGCAAGTTGCTTGGTGTTGAGTACGCATTTTTCAGGAAGTGAGCTTAAAATGAATCCAAATATGCAGTCCTTCAGATCCAGAGGGAGGTGGCTACCCCTTCTCTTTGGGTTGCTACTGTGCCACATCCACATGAGTTTGTGATACAAACTCAGTATTGCTTTACAAACTGTCATGAGGTGGAAAGGCCCAGAACCAACAAAGAACTGTGATATTTAGGAAAACTGGAGTGGAAATTTCAATAAAATTTTTTTTCATCTTCCTGGACAAAGTTTTATTCAGTAAAGGACTTTATTTCACAAACATAGACAAATAGAGGTCCTGTGATCAAGTCTCTCCATTCATCTTTAAAATATTTTCTTTGTAGCCAAGCTTTCATCTGAGATCAAAGTATTTGCAGTCATTAGAAGGCAGGGAAAGAATCTGCTAAATAAGCCAGCTTAAACACACTGGTTCATTATTCCATTTATAACCATTTCAGCCATTGTAAATGTATAGTCCTAGGACATTAAATACATCCTTACGGTTGTACAGCCATAGTCACCATCCATTTCAGAGCTTTGTCTTCCGGTGACACGAAACACTGGCTTCCCATCTCTCTACCACGGGTGACTACCACTGCATTCTCTGCCTCTGAATTTAATCACTCTAGAAATCTCATGTAAGTACAATCATTTAATATTTCTTCTTCTGTGACTGCCTTAAATAAGTCAAACTCTGTGTGTGTGTGTGTGTGTGTGTGTGTGTGTGTGTGTGTGTGTGTATGTTTTACTGGGGATTGAACCCCGAGCCTTGTGCATACTAGGCAAGTGCTCTACTACTAAGCTACATCCTCACCCCCAGTATGACCACTTTTAAAAGACACTCTGAAATTTGAAACCATCAACCTCATGGGGGTTTTGCATCTTTCTGCATTGGTTCCCATGGACGTGCCTGCATTCCTTCTCATCCTCCCGCCACTCTATGAAGAAACTTTACAATTCAGTCTTGATTCTGCAGCATCTCTTGGTTAAGCATATTGAGATAAAAAAATGGCAGCATTTTTTTCTATTTTGTTACAATTGTCAGACACCTGAACCATTGTTTTTACAGCTTAGATTACTGTTCTCTTTCTCTCTCTCTCTCTCTCTCTCTCTCTCTCTCTCTCTCTCGCTGTGGTCTTGCCAGGTACCTCTGGCTAGCTACTGCTTCAATCTGTTCTTCAACGGTATTATTTGGTACATCTACTGATATGTGAGGAGTGACGCTGTCATTCAGTTAGATTCTTCAGTTTTCTGTCCTGTTGTGAGGACACATGTTTACAGCAGTACACCACCAAAATTGTCCCTTGCTAATGAGTCTCACCTTCCTATGTGATTCTGAAATTATCCTCACTTTTAAGCAATTTTCTTTCATCTTAATGCTCCTAGTCAAAGTTTTTATTAGTTGTATTTTAAAACTTTTCAAGCCTGAACCACCTGAAAGAAGTTTCTCACATTAATTCCTTGAAACAATATTGGGGAATTCACCTGTTATTTGCAACTTGATCATCTAATGAGTGAGACATCTTTTTTCTATAAATTCCTTTTCCTCCCTCCCTCCCTTCCTTCCTTCCTTCCCTCCTTCCTTCCTTCCTCTCTCCATCCCTCCCTGCTTCCCTCCCTCCTATCCTTCCTTCCTTTGACCTTTCTTAGTAAAAGCAAAGCTCAAAACTCCTAGGTTGGCACTAGTAGACCATATAGCCTTGGCTTCACCCAAGACTTACCCTCCCTTTGGAAGCCTATTGCCAAATTGGCTCAAGAGGGCAGGGTCCATCCTTTGTTTCTCATACTGGACAAAGGACTCCTGGGATGATTCTTTATAGCCCCAGTGTGACTTGGATAATGATCAGCAGTAACAAAGACAAAAAAAAGACCTTGTTCAGAACTCAGCTCACTTCTACTTAATTGGTGGGCCAACACATAGTGCTGGTATACCTCCTCAGCATGGTTACTATGCTTTAAGCTCACCACACAGGAGTGCCTCTGTCTTTCATGGTCTTGTCTATGAAACTAACCAAAGCTGGGCTCTCTCTCTCTCTCTCTCTCTCTCTCTCACTATTTCCAAAGTTCATACCCTTTCTCTTGGTGATTGACACTTAGGGATCTTCCTGATGTGAGCTGTGTCTTTATAGACATTACCAGAATACACAGTTACCCTCCCAATAATCCTAAAAGAGTGCCCGTGTGTACTCGTATGATAAGAGCAGTGTTTGTTGTTTTCTTGCGTCTAGTGAAATCTCTGTTACCTGTCTGGGCAAACATCCTCGTCTGATAGACTTTGCTAAGATGCTTTGCACAACTTCTCATGCTATTTGTATGGAACTATTCTGGTCATCTCTGACTACTTGACTCACAGCTTCTATAACCAAATCCCCATATTAGAAAAGAGGGTCACCAGAGTCAGACTGCAAGTCAAGGTTTCTGAAGAGCAAGAATACCTGGAAGCAACAAATGCTTTGTCTTATTAAACACTAAGACCAAAAGTTAAGCACTAAGTCCATGTTGGGTGACACGCCAAGCTTTTCAAAAATCCCTGCACCTTCAGCTGAAAACATCACACACAGAACCACTAATAGAAAGCTTGGGAACTTATGGCTGTAAAAATGTGGATAAGGTATTACAGCTAGGAAACTGTGGGATTCCTCTTAAAATTATCTACCTGCTTTTATGATAACATAGCACTTCTTCCTCTGACTCTCTAATTAAAAACTTTCAATGAAAATAAAATAAACAATAGATTTAATATTAAAAATGCGAACAGCCAAACACACGTTTCCAAAGATCTTTTCTATTTTAAAAGGTAATAACTTTAGGATACCGGTTATCTCTTACCTAAAATATCCAGTGGCAGGTAGACTAATGCTTTGAGTAAAAGCTTCATTAACCTGCAAAAGAGGAACATTTTCAAAGGACAGTCAGAGAACTGGACAAAAGAAGAAAACCTGGGCGACAGCCATGGCTGTTACGTGCTTCTTCACTCTTGGGAATATTACTTTGTAGAATGAACATGAAGCACATTGTCCAAGTGGCTGCTAACAACATGCCCAGGAAGTATGATTGGCTTGCCTGACTTCCTCTGAAGAGTTTGCTGGATTTATGGATCCATTTACAGAACAAATGGAAAAGGGATGTAAGTAAATGGAAGTTTAAATTCAGGGTTCCCCAAGCAAAATCTGATCAAGGCTCTCCATCTTCCTGTCCCACACTTGAAGAACTGGAATTGGTCTAAGAGTAGAGCTACAGCTATGGTCAAAATAAAATATATGCACACACACACACACACACACACATTTATTTCTAAGTTTCAAAGGAATGGAGTGAAACATGAGGTAACTTTGATAGATTACTCGTCTACAATATTGTCACTTGACCATGTCCTATCTGTCACTGTTCCCTGAGGGTTTCCCAGGAAATGTCAAATCCTTTTGCCAGTAGCACTAATTTAACAGTTATAGGGCTCAGCAAAAACTCTACTCCCATAATTTCTTAGCTGGGTCATGTTCTAGTATGAAGCTTTTATTCTGGAAGAAGAGCCACAATTACCACTCAGAGAATACCTACCCAAGATTCTTCTCACATATTTGAAATGTCTATGTGGAAATAGCTTGAGGTTATGGCCTTCACTAAAGGTGCTTTTTAAAGCTGGATCTCATGTAACGGCTTCTCCTGCAGGAACTCCACTCAAATTCAAACTTTTGAAAGTGAACTAGATGGTGTAGGTTCAACCTTCCTTAGCTAACAATCATCTATCTACAAAGCTGCCTTTATGAACAGCATTTCACCCTTCTGAGCTACTTCTCCAAGTGAACCGAAGACATCTGCCTAATAAGAGCTGTTTGCAAGGTATGTATTACAGATCTGTACCTGCCCTTTACTTTCTTGCTATTTAAATTGTGGCCCAGCAGCATAGAAGTTACTAAGGAGTTTGGCAGAAATACAGACTCTGAGGCCTACCCAAAACCCACTGAAACAGAGCCTAATTTTAATGAGTGGCCGAAGTAATGTGTGTGTTCCTGAATGATCAGAACTTCCTGTTCTGTTCTGCCCAGGAGAGAGGCAAGTCCCATGGGATGCAGTATACCACAGGACAGGGGCTCCGGCAAAGTGGTCCCAATAAGCTCAGCAGGCTTCAGCCACATCAGGCACTCGCCCAGACTTCTCCGGTCCCATTGGGATTCTGGTTGATGATGGGCTCCAGGTGCTTCATAAGGCTCTGACAGGCGTTCTGCAGGTTAGAGAGGACAGCAGAGCAATGAGATTAAAAGGTGCTAACTTCTGATCATGGCGCTGCTCAACCTGCACTGGTCACTATACTCTCTGCCTCCCTCAGACATCTCCATGTGTTTTGTCTCCACATCTGGACAAGGATCAGGCCCTGGTGTTCCCTGTGGGAATGGTGCATAGGTAGGGCTTTGGGAGCTACTGAAGAAGGTGAGGAGGTTCAGAGGAAGACTAGACGGAATGTAAAACCCTCTCAGTTTGGCCACACTCACTCTATTTTAATTTGTTTTATATGGCAACACTTTGTTTAAGATTTGCCAAATATTTAGGAATGATATGAAAACCACTACCCAGGACAGTGAACACAAGAGCTGTTCCCAGATCAAGTGTTTCATGGGGTCACAGAGAAAGGCAGTGTGGTGTGTGGTAAAATGTTGAGTCTAGAGTCTGAGTGACTTTTACTCTGCATGCCTGAGGGCCTTGACTAGCGCTAGGTGACCACATACCTCACTTTGTCCTGGCCAATTCCCATCTGCATCAGCTGACTTGCATTAATATCAATGGCTCCTTTTGTCCTCGGGAGTTTCTTGATTTGGATGATGTTGTCATCCTAACTAGCACCTACCTTCCAGGGTTGTTTTAGATTGGGAAACCACATCAGTCACTAATCTCCTTGTTGCTTCACTCCAGAAGCACTTATTAAAGCTCTGTGCAAGAGGAACTTGGAGCCCAAGTGGCTCCAGAGCCACTGGCCTCAAACTCAGCTGACCAAACCAGGGAAGCCTGTCCCCTTTCCAGTGTCACACTTCTCCTCTTTCAGATTCTAGGACCCTTGTCTCAACAAGACTGCTCTCTGTCATGCCTGGAAGGACAGGCTATACTGATCTTTGTTCTCATGTAAGGAGGTCTATTCAGCAACACACTGTAGCTTTGTGCTCCTCTGGATGGAAGGTGAAATGAAGCATGGGTGTCCATTTACATCTGCAGTCCTTAAAGAGCTAACTGCTTGCTAACACAGAGCTTAGGATACCACATTGTCACTTGAGGATTCTCCTGAGCTGCTGCCTTCTGTGGGTACCCATGGCAGGCTGGGAAGCACTGAGTCATGTTCTCCATACTTCAGATTATGCTTCAACCAAAGAGGCCATGTCACCTGCCTTGTGATGTTAGTTAGTACTGGTGTTCTCAAAATACACTGAGCAAAAATAGAACTTGTGCTGCTAAACAATGCTGTGGTGCCAGAGACACCAGGAGATGGTCTTTACTTTGTTCTTTCTGAAACATGTGAAAAAGCATCAGGAAAGTAAAGGCAAAAGAAAATAACAAGATTTTTTTTTAATTTAATAGACATTATACACAGTAAAAACTTGTTGAAAGGCTAAGTATATTATGCATTATTTATACAAAAGTAGAGAAGTTATGCACAAATATACACACAGGTGTGTCTCTCCCTCCTTCCTGTCCCTCCTTCTCTCTCCCCCTCCTTCTCCCTCTCTCTTCCCATTTCCCTCTCTCTTTCAGCTCTAAGATGGATCTTACAGGCAAAGCATTATAATCTTAATCTTGGGACATCTGTTTCAGGTGTTCATATATTTAAATCTCTATTATTTGTTTTGGTGCTATGCGGTAGAGGGTTGAGTTTGATAAAGATATAAACCTCAGAGGAGGCTTTGCTATTAGAACCAGTCTTCGATTTTCAAAAATAAGGAAGCCCAAGGCCACTTTGCTGCCTGCCTTCCTATGAAGGGCTATTTACAAGATTTAACTGGATCTGACAGCATTTTACCATATTTTCCAGAGTGTAATTAAGTGTAGAAAAAATAAAAGACTTTTGAAGAAAAAAAAAAGATATCAGGAGACATTTTGCAGATGTTGTAGTTTGAAGATGAAATATCTCCCACTGGCTCATGTGTTGAATGTTTGGACCCCAGCTGGTGGTGTTATTTTGGGATGTTCTGGAAAGCTTTGGAAAGTGGGTTACTGGGGTTCCGGTTTTGAAAGTTGTCCCTGACCACTGGCTCCCATCTTGCTCACGGCCAGGAGGTGAAGGATGCCCCCACCTCCCTGCCCTGTACCACCATGCACTCCTGCCACCATGATGCTCTGCCCAAATCCACAAGGCAAAATAACCATGAGCTGATCCCTCTAAAACTGTAACATAAATCCTTATGTTTATGTCAGGTGATTTGTTATAGTGAGGGGAAAAGTAACTAACAGTACACTGAAGAAACTGCTTCCTCTGTAAACAGGCTTAGAGATGTAGAAGGAGGGTGAGAGTCAGGGAGATCCTCACCTGCACAGCTCTCCCATTGACATTGGCACGAGTGGACGCTGCAGTGGCAATTGTGTTTGGCATTGTCACAGTGTTCATCTCATCCAGGTGGATGTAAGACACTGGTATCTTCAATTCACAGCTGGCCACCTGTCCAGAAAAATAGAATGCACTGGTCCAGAGTGGAGCCGGGACAAGAACATAAACCTACTAGAAAGTGGGTTCTTTTCTGTTTTAAAAAGTGAGAAGTAAATTTCATAATCTGTGATTTGAACAGTCATAAACACATTGAGACTCATAAAGAACTTAGAAGTTCTTTAAAACAGTAAGGGTTTCTTTCTATCCCCAAACCTGTCAATACCCAGAGCTGGAAACAAATCTCGAAATGCTTCATGGCAGGGTTTAAAGAAGCTCTATTGAGGAGAGAGGGTCTTGCAAAGACAAAACACAGGTCCCCTGTCCTTTCACTGCCCACAGAGAGGCCTGTAGGACATGTGGCATGGGCCCAGGGTCTGGAGGAGGGAACCTCACCCTGCCATGGGTTCCCTTTATACAGAAAGTGTCAGGAGGTCTGAATTTGCTATTCTAAGAATGCACAGGTGCTGTCTAGGAATGCTGGATTCTCAGAACCTGAGCTTTGGGGCCCATGAGAACTTATTGCTGATACAGTCAAGGTCCAGGAGCCACTGGTCCCTTAATCCCTTAGGAAGCTGAGTTTTGGTGATAACCCTCCAGCTTAAGAAGGGAGGTTAAGATTCTTCTTAAGTTCCAGCTGGCTAATTTCTAGCTAACCCACAAAGAGCAACTAAGGACACTGTCAGCATCTTGCATTTTAAAGCCCAAACATGGTACAATACAGAGTCTGGGGATGTTTTCTAAGGTCTAACTAAGGAGATACTGAAACAAACTCTCACCTGTATCATTTTGGTGTTAATACCTTGTCTGAGTTCAACTCCTCCATGAGCAACTAGTACAGACCCATCTGTGTAGATATGGACCAGAGCAGCAGCCTGAAAATGAAATTATAAATCTGTTCTTCCCACTGTCTATACTCAAACCTTTGACTGTGAGACAGTCACAGGTGAAGTACTAAAAGTCACTGAAATAAAATGAGTTTCACTGCCACAGGACTCATGGGTTCATCTGAAGTGTGTGCCACCTGAGGACAGCAAAGATGCCATTTCATGGAAATTGTGAATAATGGCCCAAAGATGTACCTTGTGTTCAGCATGTACCATGTACTATCACATGGTCCTTTTGCTATTTCATTAACTAGCTATATTACATTCTTGCTGGAATTTCCTCTTTTTTTTAAAATTTTTAAGATGGTCTTCCTATAGCCCCAGCTGACCTGGAACTTGCTGTGTAGACCAGACTGGCCTCAATCTCACAGAGATCTGATCTGCTTCTGGAGTGCTGGGATTAAAGGCATGCACCACCATGCCTGGCTCATTTCCTCCTTTTTGAGTCTCTTTTACCATAAAGTTTAATTCAATAAGGAGAGCTGCATACCCTGAAAGACACTAACCCAGCTTATTTATAACCAGCAGAACCTAGATCTCTCTTTATTGGATTACAGATTTTCTTGGTCATCAATTGTCCTTTGGAGGGTGATGTTCCATTCTAGTGACTATTTTCCTTTCACTCCTCTGAGCATATTATTCTCAATTGCTTGGGGACTAAAAAACATGCAGAAAATTGTAGAGTAAAATATGACAAAATGTAAGAAAGAAAATCTCATTTGTTCTCAATCTTATTGCTTATACACTGTGATTGTAAGAAAAATAGGCAAATGCTAATGTAAGACTTGTATCTGCTGTTCTGAATACTAAGACCCCCTGAAAACCTGGTTGGTAGAGAAACTTGGTTTTGTGTAATGAGGTGAGGTTAGCAGTGTTTTAAAAAAAAAAACTCACATAGAGTGAATTACTATACACTTCACTGCAAACACATTATCATACTTGATGTGGCATGCTGTTCCAATGTGTGACATTCTCTCTTTGATGAGGAGCTTATGATCTTTTACATGTTGCCTCAAGGGTTTCACAGGAGGACCAACAAATATGTTCAAGTATTTCAAAAACCAAAAATTTCAAAAAGGTACAAGATAAAGGGAGAATACTGTATACATCAGCATCTCTCTTCCTAAAGGAAAGCAATCATCAGTTCCTAGTAATTCCTGCCAGATTTTTTTTTAGGAATGTACCATAATTTTGTGATATGGCTTTTACAAAAGTTGTAATAGTGGGAAACAGGCCTTAATAAGGGAAATATGGATAAAAATTGGGTTAGTTCAAGGGAGGTGGGGAGGGAAGGGTATACAAGGAACCTAGGGGATAAAGGGAAAGAAGGGGCTCAAGAGAGGTAGGGCTGTAGGAGAAGGGTATTATTAAGGGAGAAGGGGAAATGGGGGTACCTTAATTGGGGAAACCATGATGGAGGGGTGAGACAATGTTAAGAGATAAATAATGCCTAGCTAGTTTTAAAAACCAGAGGGAACCATATTACTCCAACAACCTACTGACAAATTATACATACCAGATCAAGAAAT